CAGACATTCCCCTTTGACATCACTTCCTGTTTCTTCACATGCAAATATCTGAACAACTGTTCATCTCAGCGGCGTGAAATTTGTTTTACAATATACTATCAATGTTACCTTTTCAAAAATGCATTCGTATTTATTACAAAAAGTTAATGTCACAAGCCCTTTAAAGAAGTGTGTCTGCGTCTGCAGAGACGAGGGGAGCTACCTGACCACGCTGAACTTCAGGCTGTAGTTGCCGCCGCTCTGGATGATGGGAGGATAACACATCTCCACCGTGGAGGGATCAGCACCGCCGAGGTACTTCTTCTCCTCGATAGCCTTCTCCACCGACTCGGCCAGTTTGCTGTGACGCACTTTCTGTTGTGGAGAGACAAGATTACAGGAGACGTGTTAACTACTGTCATTGCAATTATAAATAAGTCTATTTATTACAGAATGAAAAAAACAATCTAACCTATTTTAGATTTTAAAAATCAGGCAAGTACTTTTCAAATGGCAGCCATTTTACTCTCTTGACCAGCTGCGCCTCATTTTAACAGTCTAAAGTGCTACTTTCAGGGGGCAAAAATTATGGATAAAAATCTCTGAAACCCCTGAAAATTGCTTTGCTGATGGAAAATCACAGATCTAACAAGAAACAGAAGTATTTACCCTACTGTTTGAATCACTTTTAAAAATACTGAGCCCCAAAAATGGTAAAAATGACAAAAATCGCACCCAATAAAAAAATGTGAGAAAATCAGCTGAAACCTTTTTCACATCATCAGGAACAAACACTCATTATGCTTATTGACGTTCTTTAGTATAAGGTGCCCAATTTTTTTCAGATAATTAATTCTCTTAGATTCTGAGAAACTGGACTTCAAAAAAGCAAAAATGGTCAAAAATGACTGTCCGAAAAAAATGCAAAACATGAGATTTTACAGCTYCACAAAAACTAAACCTTTTGATGCAACATTTTGAAAATTTGCAATAGGTGAGGAGCTGCCCCAAAATATTGATATTTAATAAGCAAAGACAAATTTCTCTAATAGAAAAAAACTAACAAGCCAGTATTTTTGGAGCCTTTTGCCTTTTTTCAAGTTCTTTTACAGGGTGCTAATGTCAGTGTACTAGTACAGTATCTGACCACTCAGAATGAACACTGGAKGCAAAAGAAATTCAAAAATAATCTATTAAGAATCTTTTCAGTTATTGCAGATATATTGTGAGATCCCATTCATGTGTGCATCAGAGAACTGAAAGGTGGTTGTGGGACACTTCAGCAGTCGGCAGCCTGGATGCTTAAATTTAAGAACAACGGGCCTCATGTAAGAACCGTTCGTACGCACAGATTTGTTCTTAAGTTGTGTGTACG